ATGGGGACCGAGTTTCAGGTTAGGAAGATGAAAAATCCAGGAGATGGATGATGCTGAGAGTTGCACAACAATGTGAATGAACTTCGTGCCACTGAACTGTACAGTTAAATATGGTTAAAGTAATATGCTTTATATCATATGACTTCTACCCCCCCAAAAAAAATTTAAAGAAGAAGAATATCAAGGATCCCGAGCATCCTAAAAGCAGAAATGGGGACAAATTTGTCTTTGTTAATGAAAGAGAAAGGCTTCCCTGATAGCTTCCCTGGTGGCTCAGATGGTAAAGAATCCAGCTGCAATGCAGGAGACTTGGGTTTGATCCCTGGGTTGGGAAGATCCCTTGGAAGAGGGCATGGCAACCCACTCCAGTATTCTGGTCTGGAGAATCCCATGGACTGTATAGTCCATGGGGTTGCAAAGAGTCGGACAAGACTGAGCGACTTTCACTTTCAATCACAAGAGGAAAAGATGTAGTTTGTTTAAAAGTATGTTCTACTGTCCTTTAATCTTGAGGAGACTAATACTCAAGAGGAATACAAGTTATCACTGATATTTGTAGCTGGGTAAAGAATTTTTAAAATAAGCTAACTCATTTTGTCTTCCACACAAAATATATTCAAGGCAAAAAGAAAATCATAAAATACAAATGTGCCTTAGGAATAACCAGAATCGGGGACTGGCCTGATGGCACAGTGGATAAGAGTCTGCCTGGTAATGCAGGGGCACGGGTTTGATCCACACGCTGCAAGCGAGCTGAGCCCACGAGAATGCTCCCCACTCACTGCAACTAGAGAAAGCCTGTGCGCAGCAACAAACACCCAGAGCAGCCAAAAATAAATATACGATAAATCAAAAAAAAAAAAAACAAAAACCCATCATCCCCTGTAGCCCCATCATGCTCAAGGATAATCACTGTTTACTGGGACTCTGGGCCCCTGAACCTAGTGTTCTACCAGCGGCAGGAGGATTATGACAAAGCAGGCAAGAGAGAAACATGTTACGTCCTGCAAAGAGGCACACAGCCCCTGTGATGTTTTCATATCATCCTTAACCAGTCACTGAAAACAGAAACTTTCTGAGCATCTAAGAAATGCTTGTCACAAAAAAAGTGAACTCCTGAATCCAAAGCTTTCTACCCATCATAAACATTTGTGTCTGAGAAAAGAAAAAAAAAAAAAAATCCCTGGGGATATCCTACTGCTCTGGCAGAATTCCACTGTGATCAGTTAAATGCAAATAAATTGAGAACATCTGGTCTACATTTATTTTAAAGCCCACAAGGGTTTTAAATACAAAGAATGTTTGGCAAAATGTAGTCTTGAGTCTATTGAATGAGAATTTTTTAAAAGGCCAAAAGGTATAGCAGAGCGTGAGACAGAGTAGAGCGACCTTTGTAAATCCAGGGAAGTTTGTCCAAGTATTTCCTTCTGGTTTCTCTCTGGATTCCCAACACTTTAGCAACGGCATGTGCTTCCAGCTCAAATCTGCGAATTTATGTATGTTGGGGTTTCTGTACCTTGAGATCTGACCAGGTAACCAGGTAGGCACTATGGGTGAATGGAAGACCAAATTTATTTGAATACATATATAAACATAGGTATGTGTGTATATACATAGTTTAGTCGCTAAGTCGTGTCCAACTCTTTTGTGACCCCATAGCCACCAAGTAAGCCTGGATATACACATATACACACACAAATATAAATTATACATATATGTAGACCCATACGTAAACATATCATTTCAGGATTCTTCAAAATCTTTAATAAGTTAATACATGTTTCGACTCTCCGGAGCCTCCAGCATTCTGGTTTTTCTTAGGCTGCTGCGTGGGACACACTTGGGCTTCCCTGGGGGCTCAGATGGTGAAAAATCTGCCTGCAATGCAGGAAGACCCGGGTTCAATCCCTGGGTCAAGAAGATCCCCTGGAGAAGGGAATGGCAACCCACTCCAATATTCTTGCCTGGAGAATTCCACGGATAGAGGGGCCCGGCGGGCAACAGTCCATGGGGTCTCAAAGAGTCAGACACGACTGAGCAACTAACACACACACGTGGACACACCTGGGAGAAATGCTGGACTCCCAGATCTACGTGGGATACAGATGTCTGGGATGCAGGTGAGTCTCACCAACCTGCAAGCCTACTCCTTTCATCCAAGGAGCCGTGCAACAGACAAGTATTAAACACCTGCTGTGTGCTTCACCCAGCATGACATGCTTCCGTTTGCACACTGGACCGAGCATTCTGATCCCACGCTAAAACCAATGCCTTTCCTGTGCATAAAACAAAACCAGAACACAGACCCATGACTCGACAGCAGCTTGTGCTGGTGAATGTTTCTGTATTTTCTCTTCCCTGGGTTGCCGTGGACTTCCAGTGCAGAAGCCTGGTTTTTTATTTCTTGGCCCCTCTGACTGTTTATCAGCTCAGGTAAAACTAGTGGCCTTACAGAGCTGCTCTGACCGCTGAAGACAAGGTGTGCCTGTCATCTAGCGGAAGCGGACCCTGGGGAGACAGGGTGTTACTGGGGGATCTGGCCTGTTCCCACCTGTGCCATCTGCCCTGGCAAGTTGAACCCCAGAGCAGACATCCACACAGCCCTCCAGCTCTGCCCTCAGCCTGTGATTTAACCTAGGTGAGGGGATTTGGGGGATGCTTGCCTTCCTCCTCCTAATTATCCCCTTGGTGAGAAAATGACAAGAGAGGGGTAGGCTGATCACAGAGTCTCTCCTTCCACAATTACAGTGGGAATCGGGGCCTGCCCGGAGATGCTGCCAACCCGCTACAGAACAGCTGCCCTGGGGGGCAAGGAGGGGGCAGGGCTTGCTGCGGGGGGTTCAGAGCAACAGAGCCGAGGTAAGCCAGCCGGGCCCACCCGGGGCCACTGCAATCCTACTCCACACAGGAGAGGGACCACGAGCATCAGCCTCGCCCCATCCCATTCCCCACTTGTTCACCTCACCCCCTCACCCCAAAGCCACTCTCCACCCCCCGACACCTGCTCCGTAGTCTGGCGGCTGACCGCTACGAGCTCTGCGCCCTTTGGTTTCTGATGAGGTCTGCCGATGGGAGCCCCGGCACAAGTTCAGAGGGTTATTTCCCTCCCCCTCCCCACTTCCCCGAGCCCCTGGCAGGGGTGCTATTCTTGCAACCTGTGGGGCAGCCCCTGTCTCGTGACTCTAAGCTCTTGCTGCCGCTGTAAGCAGGTCGTTGCATTAAACTCCCTTCAGGTGAACCCCTTTGAGGGCACCATCCACTTCCTGCCAGGACCCCTACCAAAAGACAGGTGGGGGGAGGCCTTCTCTACAAAAAGGCAGTTACTGAACACAATTATAAGCTTTGGGAACCAATGAGAAACGTTCAGTTCAGCCTAGGACTCTGGTCTTCATCATCTGAACCTCTAGGAATGAAAGCGATTTTCACTTAAGAGGAGACTGAAAAAAAATCAACCTGAGTCCGGCGATCTTGACTCTTCCTGCAGTGAGGAGCCCACCTCTACTTCTTTTAAACAACCAGAACCCTGGGGCAGGAGAGGGAGGAAATTATCCTCGATGGGCCTTTATTCTGTGTCAGGCATTGTGTAACTGTTATACATAAACTGTCCCACTTGGACTGAGTAGTAAGTTGGCAGAGGTAAGAACTATCTTATAGCCATTTTTCAGATGGGGAGACTGAGTCCTAAAGCTATTAAGAATCTTGCCCAAGGTCACAACAGCCAAAGGAGGACATGAACCCGAGCAGTCTGACTCTGTGTGTTTTTAGCAAATACACTGCATGCCTCCTCCTCCAAGGGAAGGCTGGGCCGGGAGATTGAGAGCAAGGAGAGGCGAAGGGAGCCCAGCATGGCCTCAGCTTCTGACGTCCCGTCCACGAGATGCTCCCATCCACGAGACGCTCCTATCCATGAAATGCTCCCCATGGGGGAGATGGGTGCATATTTCAGCCGCAGACCAAGAACGTCGGTCACAGAGCATCAACCAGAACTGAGAGAGTGTTGGAGCAAACAAAACGCAATAAAGAACTGTGGCTTCTTCAGAAAGAGATCATCGTAAACCAGGATTCCTTGCAATATTATCAAATACCAAACCAAATCCTGTCTGAACCTTTTAGTCTGCAAGAGGGATCACTCTCTCCACTTGTAGAAACCCCCAGGAGCACACAGCATGAGGACAAATGTTACCCAAAATTTGAAAACGGATCCAGAGACAAATTCCCAAAGGAGGAGAAACAAATATTGTTGGACACGCTGGGTAAATTCATCCACAGAGAAACCATCAGTAACTCTATCCCTTACAAAGGAAGGCAATCCCTGGGGCCAAATGGCCAAAACCCTAAGCACAGGCAATGACCTTCCAAGGCTGTTGTAAACCCAAGCCACAATACAGAGCTTAGGGACAGGCCGGCAACCTCCACCTGCAAAGTCAGCAAGCGTCCAGCTTACACGCCTACTGGAAATGCCATAAATGAGAACATGGGATGTTTCAGACTGGTGCACAGCTAACTCAATATTCAGGTGCAGAAGAATAAACAGAACAACAAAATTATCTGCAGCCTGGAGACAGTGGCTGCAGCCCGATTCTCATTTCGCTTCACATAACGTTGACTTTTTTCTCCGCTTAAATCTAACCTCCCTTTGCAGAACAGTGGGGGTGCGTAGGTGGAAGGATGAAAGCTTCAGTCTTGCGCACATCACACACCATTCAGTTACCCAAGGAGAAAACAAGCCGGCAGGGAACTGCGCTTGTGCAGAACAGTCAGAAAACAGCCCCTTAAAACAGCATGGCAAACAGTTTCCCAGGTGTGAAAAACTGCCAACCAGCCAGCCAGCCTGTGTTCTTCCCTAACGCAATTCTGAAAGACTCAGGATTCTCGCTTTCACCACTGGATGACTACGCCTGACTTCATTCTGCAAACAAAGCTGCCTGCAGAGATTCGATGAGTGGCAAGCAGTCACCAAAGTGACCTGCAGAGCCCTCTGGCCGGGGGCTCCGTCTTACCTGTCGAGTCGGCCCCGGAAGCCAGGCCACTCTGCTCCCCAGCGCTGACGAGCTGCAGGTCTGTGTACGAGGGGCCGAAACTAGGACTGCTGGTGTCTTCAGAATGTGTGGTCCAGCTGCTCTCGGAGGGCAGAGGGCATCTCCTCAGGGAGTCGAAGGAAGGGCAGGTCCAGCAGGGCATGGTCAGTGATGTGGCTGGGGACGAACCGAAAGCAATCAGAGTAAACAGCTGCAGTCTGCTTATCTTTAGCGCTTGTCTGACTTTGATGTTGCTCAGATCCTACGACATCTCAACAACCATACAAGGCAAGGAAGGACAGGGAGTGTCACTCCTGACACAGACAGGGAACACTAATTGACCGAGACCCCACCAGTGAGTCAGGATCAAAACCGGTGCTTTAACTAAGGTCTCAGGAGCCTCAAATCAAAGATTAGCTCTTTAAAGAATATGTGCAATTTTAGGCTCTCCTTGCATTCCTTCATCTTCTTTAAAATTTGTCTTGGAGTATAGTTGCTTCACAATGTTGTGTTGGGTTCTGCTACACAGCAGAATGAATCAGCCACACATATACAAGTATCTCCCCCCACTTTTGGATTTCTCTCTCATTTAGGTCACCGCAGCGCATTAGGTAGAGTTCCTTGTGCTATCCAGTATGTTCCCCTCGGGTGTCTATTTCATACATTAGGCTCGACTTAGATTTCTAACCTAGGTTGCAGCTTCATTCAGATACAAAGTGCATGCAGTTTCACCCTTCCCCTTACATTTCCCTCCATTTTTAGTGGTGCACCAACAATCTCAAGAAAACTCCCCAATTCGCACTGCAAAATTAGAGCTAGACTGGGTTAAGGGTCAGGAACTTGAATATATACGTATTCGCCTAGGAATGAGATATGTGTCTCCTTGCCTAGAGTTTGGCTGTAACTGGAGTCTGCAGTCTGTTACAAATACAAATTGAGATCTACCAGGGCTGCTGACCTGCCGGACAATGAAAAACACCTTTAATGGGGAAGTGCACAGGATCTGGCTTTGTCTCTGTAACCCTACACACCGAATTCAGCAAAAACCATTTTGCAGTCCCTTTTTTGAGTTTCCTGATGTTCCTAACTTGTTTTTGCTCAATCGCCTGTCACATGGCTCCTCCACGGTGTCTTCTGAGAGGCTCATTGCAAGTTTACTGACAAATACTGAAAGCAAGTGCTGAAAAAACTAAGGACGGGGAAGGAAGAATTAAAAAGAAAGAAACTCAGCTTAATGTCTTTGACATTCACTGACATTGTTGAACCTATCAATGCTTCACTCCTTCTTATTTCTGAGCAGTCTTTCATGGTGTGGATGTACCACAGGTAGTTGCACCATTCATCGGCCAAGGACACCTGGGCTGTTTCCAGTCCTTGGCTCTTATAAATAAAGGTGCTATGAACATTCATGTACAGATTTTTGTATGTACATAAGTTTAAATTTCACCGGGATAAACACCCAAGAGTACAATTTCTTAGCTATATGGTAACTGCATGTTTAGTTTTATAAGAACCTACCAAACAGTTTTCCAAAGATGCTGGACCATTTTACATTCCCATCAGCATACATGAATGTCTCCTTATTTTCTTAACAGAGTCTTTGCAAAGCAAAAGTTTTAAAAGTTTTACAAGTCTTTAACCAGCAAAAAAACAATACAACATCTATAAAAGCAACACAAAATATGAAGCATATGTAGTAATAAATTTAACAAAAGATGGGCAAAGCCCCAGAGGAGATACTTGTAAAGTTAAGAGACCATACAGAAGACCTACATAGATGGAGAGATATTCTATATTCACAGATTGAAAGAACGGACGATGAAAAGATGTTTGTTGTTGTTTTGTTGCTAAGTCATGACCAACTCTGTATGACCCAATGGACTGCAGTCCCCCAGGTTCCTCTGTCCATGGAGTTTCCCAGGCAAGAATACTGGAGTGGGTTGCCATTTCTTTCTCCTGGGAATCTTCACCACCCAGGGACTGAATCCGTGTCTCCTGCACTGGCAGGTGGATTCTTTACCACTGAGCCATCAGGGAAGCCCTGCTAAAGATGCTAATTATCCCTAAATTGGATTATAGTCTTGTACTCTCAATCAAAATCCTAGCATGGCTTTTTTTCCCTTCCAGGAAGCAGAATCACACATTTTAGATATGAATGAAATCAAAATTTTAATAATATAAATGCACTTGTAAATACACATTAAAATAAAATGACAGAAATAAGAAAAATATGGTACTATAAGGCAAAAATGAAATTAGACTCCTACTCTACACTATACAGAAAAATCAGTTCTAAGTGGGCTGAATGTCAAAGTGTGAAAGGCTACATAGATGTTCTTTAAAGGCATATATTGGGCTGGCCAAAAAGATCCATTACAGCTTATGGAAAATCCAAACGAACATTTTGGCCAACCAAACAGCTTAATGTGGTCATGATTTCGGGGGTAGTGAAAGATTTTCTTTACTGAGACCAAGAAAGCACCAAGCATAAAAGAAAAATAAACAAATTCCATACCACTAAAATGAAGAACTTCTTTTCATGAAAAGTCACTATAAAGAGTAAAAGGGGGCTTCCCCAAAGACTCAGCACGTAAAGAATCTGCCTGCGACGCAGAAGACTTGGGTTCGATGCCTGGGTCAGGAAGATCCCCTGGAGAAGGAAATGACAACCCACCCCAGTATTCTTGCCTGGAGAATCCCACGGACAGAGGAACCTGGCAGGCCACAGTCCATGAGGTCCCAAAACAGCCGAACACCAGTGAGCGACTAAGCAAACACAAAGAGTAAAAAGACTACCCACGGGGTAGGAGATAAGAATCGGCCACACATCATGTCCACAGGGAACTCCCAGAAATCAGCAAAGAAAGGGAAATGCCATCAAAAAATACTCTCAAAGAGGCATTTTATGAAAAGAAAAAACTGAATGGAAGAAGAAGTAAAGCAAAGGGGGGAAGAAAAAAAGCACTCAACCTCATTTGTAATCTAGGAAATGCAGATTAAAACCACATGAGCTATCGTTGCTCTTCACCCTTCCCTTCCTCCCTGGGACAAAAAGAGTGAAACTCGACCATCCCCGTATAGTCCAGTGGAGCCAAGGCAGCTTTTCTGTGTGGCTGGTAGGAAAGTCAGCTGGAAGCCCCGCAGAAAACGGGCGGCTGTTAAAGCCATCTGACCGAGTGCAAGATAAACACGCCCGCGCGCAGCAGCTCCCCCAGACATATTTAAACAAGAGAATCACTTGCACTTAAACGTGTTCACTAGGAGAGGACTGCTCATTGAAAAGACGAAACACACGCTCACAGAAACACGTTCCTAATTGCCCCAAAGTAGAATAACTCCAACATCCATCACACAGCACGGGTGAATGACTGTGGAATATCACTAAGATGGAATGGGCTTCCCTGGTGGCTCAGCTGGTAAAGAATCCACCCACAACGCGGGAGACCTGGGTTGGGAAGAGTCCCTGGAGGAGGGCGTGGCAACCCGCTCCAGTATTCTGGACAGGAGAATTCCAAGGACTGTATAGTCCATGGGGTCGCAAAGAGTCAGGCACAACTGAAAGACTTCCACTTTCACTAAGATGGAATACACTGCAAAAAACACTATACCTACAGGTAATGAAACCAAAAAACCTCATAAATAAAATGTAGAAGGAGTCAGCCACAGGATAACACATGCAATATTATTCCACTTACATAAGGTTCACACACAGATGAAATGCAATTCCATCATTTGAGATGCATGTGCAGGAAAGCTGTTAAAAGTAGAGCAGTTATCTTAAAACCCAGGAAGAGGATGACAGAGGGAAGTGAATGTCTAGAAAAAGGATGCCATGATCAGTGGGGAAACAGAGGGCTTCTGAGTGATGACAGTGTTCTATTTATTAAACTGGGTGGTGGGTAGTACTGTCATCCTTTGTAATTTAATACACACTTTAAATATGATTCTTTGTGTTTATTCAGTAGTTAATAAAGCTTATTAAAGCCACATATCAAAAGACTATTCAAGAAAGGAATTTATTTTAACTATTTGTATTTTCGAATTAGCTCTTCCATATTTATTTATTTAGCTGCACCAGGTCTTCATTGTGGCATGCGGGATCTTTAGTTAGAGTGTTTGAACTCTTAGTTGTGGCATTCGGGATCTTTAGTTAGAGCGTTTGAACTCTTAGTTGTGGCATGTGGGATCTACTCCCCTGACTAGGGATCAAAGCCATCCCCCCTGCATTGGGAGTGCAGAGTCTTAGCCACTGGACCACTAGGGAAGTCCCCAGATACAGCTTCTTTACGTTTGTTAGGTAAAACTCTCAAATTTCCCTCGAAAGAAAAACTAAGAATAATGAAGCTGAAAAAAAAAAAAAAAAAAAAAAANTGAAAGGACTGATGCTAAAGCCAAAGCTCCAATCCTTTGACCACCTGATGCAAAGAGCCGACACAGTGGAAAAGATTGAGGGCTGGAGGAGAAGAGGCAACAGAAGATGAGACAGTTAGATGGCATCACCAACTCAATGGACATAAATTTGAGCAAACTCCAGGAGACGGTGGAGGACAGAGGAGCCTGGCATGCTACAGTCCGTGGGGTCACGAAGAGTTAGACACAACTAAGCGACTGAACAACAAAAACCAAAGTGGCTGGGAGAGGCGATGTCTTTTTACATCCTACCATCTGTTCTCATTTAGTCTCATACACTTTATTTATCAGCTTAGCAAATTTGAATATATCATGGTATTTAGTTTCTGGATTGAATATCCTTAGGCCACAAGATCAGTTGAACAGTGAGAGAAAGTTCTCAGTCTAGAGTTGACTCTTTTCCTAGAGGAAGACCAGACCTCTGACAGCTAGGCTGGTGAGCAGCAGGTTGCTGTCATCACGCTGCTCCACATCTGATCCGCAAGGAATACAGAGAAACAAAGACAGAAATCTGCCTTCTCTCTTTTTCTATGAGGTTGTACGTAAGGACTCTGGATCCAGACCGCCTGCTGCACATTCAGCCCTGTAGCCTGGGGCAAGTTACTCAATACATCTGTTCTTCTGTGTTTTCACCTGTAAAATGGAACAGAAAACAGTGCTCCCCACATAAACGGATTAGGCTAATACTGACGAAGCACTTAGCAAAATGCTTGGCACAAAGGAAGTACTCCAAAAAGGTAATTAGTCGCTCAGTCCTATCTGACTCT